GTGATGCAAATCAATAGTCTATTCACTGAGTGGTACTGGTACAACAAGCTGTCCTTTTGAGAAGGTTTAAACTTCTATCCATACCTTGCATCACACCCTCCATCATAATGTGCAAAAGGAAATACACCCTTACATTCCCCCATGCCACCACCACTTCCCTCTACCCTAGCTCCTCCCCTCTCTCTAGCCATACCCTGCCCTCTTAAGAGAGGTAGGGTTGCTATGCCTACCACACAGAAGTCATCCAAACCTGGTCACTTGTAGAGCAGTAGAGACAGACTAAGAAAAAGCTGCAGCCTCTGGAAACTCAAGTAAAAAGGAGTCTGCCCCAACCTGCTTTTTCCCCAGTCTTGCTGCAGAAGATGAACACCCGGAAGACTTGGTGGTGGGGGGGAAGGCACATGAAAGCAGAGAAGTCTCTCCCTGCTTCAGCCCCTAGAGCCAGAGACCCTGCAGCCTGTGCGAGGGGGTGGGAAGAAGAGCTTCAGATTCAATTTTCTATCCCTGGTATTCCCCAGTTCACAATAAACAACTCTCTCTTTAACTATGAACATGAGATTTTCTAGTAATGAAAAGTCATTGGGGAATTATGGAGTCTTGCCAAGATGTAAAGGGGTCCTCCTATCAGCAGAAGAGCTCAAAATACAACAGTCAGTGGGAAATTATAGAAAATAAAATCATTTTTACACATCCACAGGTCTGGATTCCTTAACGAACCCATTAAGCAAAGTTAAGGTGTGCAGTTGTGTAAATAAGAAAAAGGTAAACATCCAAGTAGAATTAGGTAAGTAGAGTTAGGCAAAGAAATGCAAATTCACAAAATGGAAATCTGGAATGGCCAACAAACATAGGAAAAGATGTCAATCTCACTGGTAATCCAGAAAGAGTAAATTAAAATAATAAATACCAATTTGCACTTACCAGTTTGGCAAACACTTTTTCTTTTGGAAAAAATTTAAACCCACAGAAAAGTTGAAAGTAAAAAGTAAAATGAAACTAAATGCACATGTAGATTCACCAATGTGAGGAATTTGCAACATTTGTACTCAGTCTCCTCTCTCTATTTCTTTCTCTCTCTCTCTCTCTCACTCTCTCTCTCTCTATATGTATATATAAAATGATTGATGCATTTGAAAATAATTTCCAGACAAAATATCCCTTTATCTCTAAATAATTCAGTGTGTGTCTTCTAAGAATAAGAATATTCTCTTACATAATGTCTTAATAATCAAACTTATAAAAATTAACATAGATCAAAAACTATCTAATAGATAGTCTATATTGTCTTGTTTTCCCAATGAAAGATCACTTGTTGCTTTTAGATACTATGTATCTTTGGTCTCCTTTAATCTGGAGTAGGTTCTTGGTTTTTCTTTGTCTTTCTTGGTGGGCCAGTTGTTTTGTAGTTGGCAAAAATTTGCTTGCCTGTGAGTAAGCTGGGAAACTCTTGTACTCTACTGTTGGAAATAGAAATCAACATAACCACTCCTGGGTAAATAATCCAGATAAAACTCCTATAAATGTGCAAAAGAAGACATTTACTAAGATATTCATTATAGCATTCCTTATAATAGTAAAAAATGGAAAATAAGCTAAATAGTTTTCAAAAAAAGACTGAATAAACAAAAATGGCTTATTCTATATAATGGAGTCTTATGCAGAAATTAGAATGGAAAATGAGATATATATATATCAATATGGGTTAACCCTTAACTGCATAAAGGTAAGTGAAAAAAGTAGAAGAATAGACAACATATTTATTTACATATGTTTCAAAAACATACAAAATTAATATATAATGTTATGGATAGATCTATGTAAGTAATAAATGAGTAAAAGTATACTTGAGAAGAACACATCTGAACTTTAAGACTGTGAAGCTTTGTGGGGAGGGAGGAAGGCTAGTGGAGTAGAGGAGGGATGTTTCAGTTGTATCAAAACTTCTTATGAGAACTAAGCAGAAGAATATGGCAAATGTTAACCTTATTAAATCAAGGTCCTGGTGACATAGATGTACAGCGAATATTTGTGATACCGTTCATGTTTGAAAGAGCATACAACTACAGTGTAAAATATGGTAAGATAATAACCTATTGTGACGAGTAATTTTTAATGCTGCCTAGCAAATCCTTGTGTCCACCCTAGCCTCGGCACTTATGCCATGTTCAGCAGGAAGAGCCCCTCAGTCATGATAAATATTTTACAAACAATGTTGTAAACACTTTAGTTGGTAAAAGAAGTAAGAATAAATCAGGGCTTAAAATGGTCTTATTTAGAACCATTTTGAAAGGTTTTATTCAGAAATTCTACCTCTCCAAAAAAATAAAACTCCTTAAAAATTAAGGTGAGACAGATATGTCTGGAGTCAAAAATGTCTGAATTTGAATGCAGGCCTTTATTTACCAGATGAATAAATATAAGGCACTTAGTCTCCAAGCTTCCATTTCCTCAGCTCTATAACAAAGTAATAAAATTCAGCTCATACGGAGTTGTATAGATTAAAAAGTCAAATACATACAAAAGCATAGTTCCTGCTTTTAAAAGGTTAACTATTGTTGGTGTTAGTTCATAAAGTTTCAAGATTAAAATATTGCTAACCATACTCTCTATTTAAATAAAGATATCTGAAACCATGCTTAGAAAAGGCTATGTAATTTTACATTTACTGCCAGAAAGAAAAATGATATTTTAAAAATTCATGTAGTGTTCAACTTCCCTAAAAACATGCTTAGTCAAATCATGCCTACTAAAGACTCATGGAAAGGAAAATAGAAATGCATGTTTAACCTACAGGGAAAATTATGTATACAGCCTTCAAAATTTGGTGTTTTAAACTTACCATGTATCCCACAAAATCTTCACTTTAAGGGAAATCCTACCTCATAAAGTACATATCTTTGCAGAGCTGTGCCCTATGGGCTCTTGGCTGGAAAAGCAGAATCAAGTCTCATATCATGTGATTGTAATTGTACATTACTGGACTACACCTCTGTGAATGTAAAGTGTCTTTATGATACACAGTAGTGACCATGCTTCATCAGAGCTGTTTTTAATGATGTTTTAATGAAGGGTTTCTTTCCAGATATTGATTAAGAAGTCAATAATAAAAATAAAATTAAAAAAAGGTACCAGGTTCTACAACAGTAATAGAACTTTGCAGTTTCCTAGGGTTTTGTTTTCTACTTTTTTTTTAAATTGGGGTGTGCTAGATGTCTCTAGAACTTGTTCAGATGACGGCAGAACCTGGAAAGGCTGTTGTTGCTATTGATGCATAACATACTGATTTTATCAATTTTTTATGTCAATATATATGAGATTTGAAGTTTTAGAAACTTTAACTGTACTGTCAACTTTGGGAAAAAGTATTCCAATTTACAGTGTTGAGTTGGCATTGTACAGAAATTAAAGCCATACTGGTCTATAAACATTATTTTTTGTTCATTTTTATTGGTATTGTACTGAGAGTACATTGTGACATTTATAAAAGTTCTTACAGTATATCATAGTTGAATTCATCTCCCTTTTTTCCCATTTGTACAGTGAATACATACTGTATTAAACATGTAAGGTTTAATCTATGTGAGTTTGATTACAAAAACTAATAAAAATATTCTCAAGCCAATGAAAACCATTTCACCTTCATATTTATAGCTTTAATATACTAACTCACCATTGCATCAAGTTTGAGCTTCTCTATAAGGCAAGAAGACACCTGATGTTGAACAAAAATCAGTCTCTCCCCAACAAAACCCAGCCTGTTAAGAGCCCATGTCATGGTTCATGTTGGAAAGATAATTCATTTCCAAACCATCTGTAGCTCAGAGAAGGGGAAAGGATTAGCCATGCCCATTCTACTAGGAAGCTTGTCTGGAAAACCCAAGGTATTCTTTTTTCCCCTACTGCAATAATTCCTGAATAAAAACAATTTTTACACAGAGAGACCTCAACACAAGGATAGTAAGAGACTTCAACACTCCACTATCACCAATTGATAAGTCTTCCAGACAAAAAAAAAAATAAAGACACTTTAGAATTGAATGACACCATAGATCAAATGGACCTGACAGACATCCTCATAGTATTTCATTCTGCAGTAGCACAATATACATTCTTCTCAGCAACCCATGGAACTTTCTCCAAAATAGATCATATTTTAAGTGGTAAAGCAAGTCCTAACAAATACAAGAAAATTGAAATAACTTCCTGCATACTGTCTAACCACAATGTAATACAATTGGAACTCAACAACAAAAGAAACAGCAGAAAATACTCAAACACCTGGAGACTGAACAACACATTGCTCCATGACCAGTGTGTCTTTGAAGAAATAAGAGAGGAAATAAAAAATGTTCCTGGAGTTTAATGAAAATAAAAGCACAACCTGCCAGAACCTATGGGACACAGCAAAGGCAGTGCTAAGGGGAAAGTTTATAGCCATGAATGCATATATTAAAAACATAGAAAGCTCTCAAGTAAATGACCTAATGCTGCATTAAAAAAAACCCTAGGAAAAAAAAAA